TATATATACAGATACCTGTTGTAGATGGCTCTTTGAACAACTTTGTAGAAATGCTGAATTTTTATTTATTTATTTTTTTTACCAGACCTAACGGCTAGGCTGGTCAGTTTTGCATAGTTTTATTCTTGGCATTTGGTAAAAACTGTAATTTGTTAGCTCAGATAGCAGCAGCAGTAGTTAGCTGTTGCATCTCCAACAGGAATATTGTAACATTTCTATCATAACCAGGTAACGAGAACTTGGTGGCAGTAGCTGCATTTCCATTGACCATGAAAATGCGCTATATCGAATTTCGAAGATATATTTGCTCAATGGAAACACGTCAGTTTCGGAAAAAAWATATATACATTTTTCGACAAAATGTTTTTGCGCTAAGAAGAGGTAGTTTTTCGGCCGTATCAAAACTGATGTATTTCGCAAAACTGCAATGGAAACCCTTTTTTYGCATCACGGGAGTCACGTGATCTTGAACCGGCTGTTTCTACTGGCGAAAAAGACGAAGAAGAAGATAACAGGAAGTAAAAGTAGTAGTAAAAGAAAGTATTAAACTCACCGACTAAATTTCCCCAAAAACGCTGCATACGTAGCCGCTCCCAAGTATAAGGGGCTTGTCACTCAAAAGCCTCCATAAGACGCCGATGTCTCCTCTGATAACTGATGATGAGCGCTAGTGTCATGGTAGCAGTATGCTGTGTTTACATCCATTGCTGCCGTGTTTGTAATGACTTATCACGAACAAACGTATTCACGCGACTTTAATTGCATTTCTTACTTAATGGAAACCCCACAATTGCGAAACTGTGTTTTTTCGACATTAACAGAATATCGACAAAGTTTTGCGCACAATCGCAATGGAAACGCAGCTAGTGTAAAGATGAACTACTTTGAATTTTATTTTATTTTTATTTTTTGATTGGAGCTGTTTTGAAACATTTCATTCTGTTCTCAGATCTGCCCAGACTAGCCATTAGCTCTTCAACACAGTCAGAAATAAACAGTTTCTCAAAGCAGGTCGTTCAAAGAGACACCTACGAATTAAAATATCCTACCCTCCACTCCAAAAGATCTGAACTACTGCTTTGATGTTTATTTGATCTGTGGCATTTTTCAGGCTTTACACTAAGATTCACGTCATAACTTTGTCATCTGTAGATTACAGATTGGTATTACAAAAAAAAGCATTTACTGTGCGGGTATGTGGAAGAAGTGGTTTGATTATTGCAATAAAATAAGAGGGAATGCCTCCAGCTCTTAGCATACAGTAATTATCTATCAGCATTTTAAATCTTTTTTTGTTTGTGTTTTTAAACTGCTTATTGTTGTAATATCCAATTATGGATTTGAGGCTGTTTTATGAAGCCTTCATTCAGTAGTTATTACATTTACTGCTAAGATCTTAAAAACATATCAAACGTTCGGGGTATTGGTTAACATTGTGAGGAAATTATTGCACAATATGAGATAAAGGATAAAAAAATCTGACTATAATAATTTAATGCTAAGTAACAGGTGCTTAGGCTTTGTAGTGCGAAGTGGAGGAAGAAACAGTTTATATGATAAATAAAATAAAACAATAAGGTCGAGTGTTTGAGGTATTCTTAGTCCAGACATTTGTACACTAGTAGGTTAATTCTCAAAAAGATATCGCATAACGCCGCTGTCAGAGGAAAACTACATATATTTGAGCCCTAGCGGATAAAATATTGTATTTTATATGATAGCAAGTGAAGATTTTTGGCATGAAACTTTCCAGCCTTTTAAGGATTCTGTATATTTGAAATTAATGTCTTAAATTGACCGTAAGAGTGGAAATAAAACAGGATTTTCTTGCGACAGCATTAGGATTATAATTTAACCAACCACTACGTTTGTCAGTATTTCTGGTTGAAATCGTTTGTTTTGTTTTTGTTTTTTTTCTCTCCCTTTGGTCAATTGAACATATGGTAATTGGTATGCATAAATATTCAGGTGTCTTTCACTATAGCATTGGATTTCTAGGTTTAAAAGAAAAAAAACATGCAGTATATTTAAACAAGTGGTACAGTTATGTATTTCTAGCTAAGCATGGTTGCGTCAATGTGGCAGCTACTGTTTGTGCTTTTAATATTCTTGTTTTTATTTAAATTTTTTAAACCACCTTCTGCATCTCTGTCCTCTACATATCTTTCACTATGAGGGGAGTTCAAAGTCTGTAAATAATGTTAGAAATTGAGGAATTTGTCTTCAAATTCCATCTTATTATGATGGATGCCTGGATTTACAGACGCTGAGGGAAGAAATGACGCTGTTGGCGTGTTGAACGATGTCTTGGGAGGGATAAACTAACCCTGCCTCCATACCATTCTTACAATTCTTTCTGTGCCATATTTTACCAGTCGTTTAGTAAATGTTAGTTTCTTCTCCTAAATAACTGGTGAACTTTGTTAAYGTCTTGCTTGTTGTGAAATCTGTGTTTTTTCCTGTCGCCGTCTTGTTTCTCCAGTTGTTGAATCGGATCGAATCCATCATGTTTGGACTTTGTGCCATTTTGCACATCAGACATTTTGGTCTGATCCCATTCCGGGATGCAAAATTATGTCAGCTCTTGCAAAATGTCCTTTTTTCTTCTTCTTCTTCCTGTTTTTATGCTGAGACTGACCTTTTCTGCCCTCACTGGTCCATTTAAACAGCAGTCATATTAAATGTATTCATTGAAATTTATAATGGTGGCAATCAACAGCATTTTATGGCATTTTTAAACACTAGATGTCACCAGTGACCAAGTCTAAAAGTGGCTTCTAGTTTAAGGCTCTAAGCCGTTATTAGTAAACGAACATTTTAAAAAGAATTGTCACATTTTGAGCGCAGAGCAATTCAAGGCATTTTAAAATATTTTATGGCATTTTCAGAAATGYCGTGCTGGACTCCAGATGAGGTCTTATTTGTTGTTTTCGGAGCTGCGGACCAACACTCTAAAACTGTAACTCAGTTTAAAACTCAAAGCTTAGCAAAGGCAGATTCACAAAGCAGTTACCAGAAAATAGCTTTTTTTTAATTCTTCTGAAGGGTTTGAATTGCCTCTTCACTCCATTCCTTGCCTCTCGTTTATTTCAATTTGCACTTAAGTGACGTGGGGGGACTGGGATATGTTTAGGGAGGAAGTCTGATGTGCAAAGTTGTCTTAATCATGATTCTTTCATCTTTTCCTCCTCATAGGTCCTTCTGACTTCTAAGACATTTCCGAACATGCAAAAGATTTAAAAGACATTTACTTAACATCTATTTTTTATTCCAGTGTAACTGAATCCTGAACCTTTTCACGTTACCAGTGAAAATATGACCAGAAACATTTTACATTACACCTTTTCACTTCCATTCTCCCCTCAACTTTTTTTTTTATTTTTTGGACT